GCTGCAAGAAGAGTAGCCGCAACAACAGGAGATGCTGCAGGAACAGCCACCGACGAAAAGGAACGGGGATGCACCGTTAGGCTATTCGGGACGAACAGCCTTAAGGAGGGAGCAGTGTGACATGTTGACCCCTACCTCCCCAGCGGTATGTGGCGGTAACGTAACGCTCGCGTTACTATGGTAATAGGCGAGTTCCCGCCCCGCCACTCCCCTCCGCGGTGACGTCACCGAGGGATATCGCGGTCGCTAGGCAACGCGAATCAACAGCGGCGACGTTACGATAGTAACAGCGGTGACCTCCGCTAGCGTTACATAGCAACACAGCGCCAGGCAAAAAGGGTGCCTATTACATGGCCGTTTTCCCGTACTGTCCGATCGAGGCTACATACAGAGCAGCGAAGGCTATTCACAGTCAGTTCTAATGTGGCTACCGCAGCGTTGTACTGAGTCAGTCAGCGAGTCCTGGACCTATCGTCGAGTTAGCCAGCAACCAGTCAGTTGTATTGTGGCATTTGGAGTGTACTAAGTGTGATACTGCAGATAGCAGTAATCGTCAGATTGTAATTTGGGTGATTGTGAGAGCGGATGTGAAATAAAATTCGCTAGATAAAATACATCGTGAAGTTATTTGTCGCGTCATACGCCCGATACGCGACAACTGGTGTCAGAAGTGGGATCAGTAACGTAAACACGTTACAATATAATGATTCATTGTCCAGTTCTCTGTTGCTACCAAGATATTTCCAATTTGTTTTTCCCCTACCAACCAGTTCCCTACAGCAGTAATATGAAATATATCCAGTCCTGTACCTGCTGTACTACTCCACTGCAGTATGGAGGGGAGTGAAGAGTTCAAACCATTTATCGTAAACAAGTTCGAAGAACCAGGTTGGATGAAAACCATAGGGAACTAGCATAAAGTCATTTGAGATTTTAATGGGAAATAATTAAAACAGACTTCCTCAAGAATAACCAATTTTGATAAATTGAAAAGTTCTGGAAGGAGTGCTGCGTTTATACTAGGCTTGTTCAGGTCTCATATTTTTGAGATTAAGTTGTGAAATAATTCTCAATCATGTTTCAAACTTTCATCTTTCATGCCTCAAATATGAGAATTTTGTAACAACTGCTTTTATTTTACATGTTAAGGTCTTTATGTTATAATGGCTCAGTATAATTTGTACTTGTCTCTTTCCGTTTTTTGGCCTACTTCCCTTACTTTGAAAAAATACAAAAAATTATGGGAAAAACTAATCACCTACCTTCTTTTGATATGACATGGCCCGCAGAGAAAACTTGTCCAATTCATTTGTTGTTGTATATTTGTTTGTTGCCACAGGATTGTGTTTACCAAACATGTTGCAAACTGCTGGGCCATTGCCTTCAGACCTTAGGAGGGACACCACACATGCACATGCACACGCGCGCGCACACACGCACACACACACACCTGTGCACATGTGAAGTAGAGGAACTGTTGAAGGTGGTGTCTTCTGACTGGCTTTGGTCCAACCAAAGCTATGTAAAGAGGACAGCTTTTTGCTCAGGACCATGGTTAGCAGTTGGTCACAGTGCACAGAAACTCAAGAGTAGGAAGACATAATCACCAAACCGTTGTCTAGCAGTGGCCATCTCATTGGTGGTTTTCTGACTGCACTGTTTTGACTTTCGTGCGTCATGTCACGTGGTTATATGGTATGGTATTTCCGTCTCTTCTGGCTCCACTATTTCGGCTCTCAGGAGTTTAGGGGTATGAGTACAGACAGCAAGTCTTCTTTTTAGCCTTCTTTCCTGTGTGGTCCTTGTTATACCAAAGGAAAGTAGGTGATTAACTCTTCCCAGAACTTTTTGTATTTTAGCCTACTTACCTTAATTTGAGAAAAATAAAAGGGTCCTGAGTGAGATATATGGTCCAAGGCCTGATGGGTAGGTAAAATATATGATAAAATATGAACTTCAAGGTGTGAAATTATTTTTATTCAATTCCAAATCATTGTTCATAAATCCATGAATTTAGATTCATAACTCAAACTGTAAAATTTATGCAGCGGTTCTTTCCGTCTCTTAAGATCATATAAGTAGTACTTACCCCAAACTGTTCATTTAATCATTTCATGGAAGCATCCATGTTTAATTCTAAAAATAACCCCACCTTCTTCCTTATACTTGATTAAAAGTGGTTTCTTTTAGTCTTCCCACTAAGTGGGGCACACAGTAGCATAGTTGGTTGAAGCACTGTGCTAAAAGGCGAAAGGTCATGGGGTCAATTCCCGATGAGGTCATTGGATTTTTCAGTTTACCTAATCCTTCCATCTGCACTATGGCCCTGGGGTTGAGTCAGCCTCTAACAGAAAGGAGTACCAGGAATTTTCCTGGGGTTAACAAGCAACCGGTGCATAAGGCTGACCTCACTGCCATCTGTGAGCTGATTGTCCTAAAAATGTGAGATCCTTGTCATCTCACAACCCTATAGCCTCAATGGCCTGTTACAGGGATATCTCTACCCCTTCAAGTTCCATAAAATGCTGGGAAATTCTTGAGTAGCTGCAGAATTGGCGACTCCTCCAGAAGGGCTCAGCTCCATGAAAAAAAAACACAGTAATCTCAAAGAACCAGGTGTACACACAAACGGGGAGACTTGAAGTTAGGAGGACTGCACACTTAAATAAAGCAGCCAGGTGGCGAACTACTCAATGATACCAACCCTTCAGTTTAAAAAGTACCCAGACTTTTGGCCCTTCTGCATTTCTGGATCCTGGCAAGAGGTTCAGTACTATATTAATGTTGTAGCCAAATTTTTTGACTACTTTATTTAATTTTAAATTTTATTTTTTGGTCCCAAGCACTTGTGATGAGGTTTACTGTGTTTTCTTACCTTTGTGTTTACCAAGATGTTTTTGCTATTTAAGTTCTGGCTTCCCTTGGGAATTATTTAAGAAGGCATAATATCTGCAGTTTATATTGGCCAGTGGGTTTTGTGCTTTTCTTTGAACTCCAGGTTGTCCTCTAACTATGGTGTAACATTTGTGGTATATTTTCATGTGCATGAAGGGTCATTCTGCAGTAGAAATTCAAACCCTTGGAAGGATTTTAAGATGTTGAAAAGTTATTGGAAATGCCCAGGTCCTGCTAGGAATTTGTAATTATGTAAATAAGGAAATGGTGCTTTAATGGCCATACATGAACCTTTCGCTGAATGCTATTCACAGAGTTAAAAATGCAAGATTATGCAGTTTGGATATGCTAAGAACATATCATTACTTTTTTTATATAGGTTGTTCGTATGGTACAACAGGGAGCAGGCATGGTTCCTATAGGAACTGTACCAACATCAATGAGTTATCACCATGAATCACCTGGACCTCAGCCCCCACCAGGCCCCCATCAACTTCAGTATATGTCCCCTGCTCCACCAGCAGCCATGGGGCCACCGCATCATGCCCATCCACATCATCCTCATCCTCACCACCATGGACACCCTCCTCCTCCACCCTCTCAGCAGGGTCCGCCTCCACCTGGTGGGCCATCACCTGCCCAAGGAGCCACTCCTAATCCGCCAGGCCCTCCACACACTCCAGTAGGTGCTCCAAATAATGCAAGTGCAGCAGGGGGAGGTGGTTACCACCACCATCCACAAGGTGGTCACCCACAGTCCCCAGCTGGGGCACCACCAGCTACATACCAACAACCTCCTCCAGGGCCACCACAAGGGCATCCACCTAGTGGACCCCATACATATTCTATAATGTGCTCAGTGCTGCCACCAGGCCAGTTGGCTCCAGGTCCACATACTCCACACCATCCTATGATGCAGCCAGCCAGCATGCAGCAGGCTGCAGTGCAGTACATTCATCACCAGCATCAAGGTAATGTTAGCACCCTAATAGATTCAAGCAGTCATTTGTCTAGATGTCTGCCTGAACACAGTTAAGATGTGATTCATGTTTAACTGAGGGATCAAATGTGGTTAAGTGCATAGCGATCTTGCCTTATATTCAGTAGAGTCCAAGTCTGTATCTTAGCTTGGAGACTGGCTGTCCTGATTGATGCTCTATCTTGCCTTATATTCAGATATTCAGTAGAGTCCAAGTTTGTATCTTAGCTTGAAGACTGGCTGTCCTGATTGATGGCTCTATCTTGCCTTATATTCAGATATTCAGTAGAGTCCAAGTTTGTATCTTAGCTTGAAGACTGGCTCTCCTGATTGAGGGCTCTTACACTTTTCTATGATTCCTACAGGCAGGTGATAGGATGGTACACAAATTTGGGTTGTGACTGCTTCCTTCCCTTTCCTGTTCATTATTCTCTGGCATATTATCATGACATTTCCATCTATACAAAATTATGAAGTTTCTATTAAAGACTTTTTTTATATTGGAGCTGTCTGTAGAAAAAATGAAAGCCTTTTACCATGTCCATTTTTTCAGTAATGTTTGCTTCATATATTTCATATCTTGCATATTGCAGTCATTTGCATGAAGAATGGATTGGCAGACATGTTTTTCATGTGCAGTTTACATTTCGTAATGTCTTAGACATCTAAGGCAGATGTGTCAGAATGGTGATCTTTAGCTCTCAGTGCTTTTTGATGGCCTTTGAGTAGCTAGTCATGTCAAGAGTGCAACTGTTCTTTTAAGTTTCACCTCTCTTCACTTACCAACTGCTTATCTAAGCACCGAGCTCTGCTTTCCACCTGTTTCACACTGCTTTTCTGCTTGGCTCAGCCTTGAAAGTGGAGGTGATATGTTCCTCCAAAATATGATCGACTTTCAACAGGCTACATGGATATTATATCCCAGAAGAACAACTTCATAACAAGAATTTTCTCTAGTAGACCAATTTTTCGTTGTTACAGTTTATAAATCTAGCCATTTTTCACAATGCACTAAAGTGTAATACTGTGTTTACTGAAAGAAATTGACTGTATGAAAGATGATCCCATGATAGGAAACATGTTGGCACAGGAAAAGCAATTTTATGAATTTTCTTCTTACTGTACTACAAACACATGACACGGAATAAATATATGGCTATTATAAATAATTTGAGTGATAAGAAATTAGTATATTTTCAAAATGGTTACAGATACAAACATGAAATGTCTTGAAAACAGCAAGAAAACTCTTTTAAGTTTTGTTGACAACATGTATTGTATATCAGCTGCAACTGACACTTCGATCACAATCAAAGGAAAATGTCTCAACTGCAGAAGGCTTGGGTAGGATGAACAGGACCCATTCCCTGGCCCCTGATAGCCCTGGACCTTACTCCATGCAATTTCTACATCTGGGGATATGTGAAAGACCAAGTATACCAACTTCCAATGGCACAGTCCCTTTGAGAGCTTGAAGAGCTAATTTCACAGGCCATGATTAGTGCTGATGAGTCATAGTTATGATGTACATGGGAAGAATTTGAATGTTACAGAGTAATTGATGGAGCACATATTGAACATCTGTACATAAACTTCGTAAAAGTTAAATATACATCTTCAAGGAACAGACAGAATAGTGATGTATGTATGGTATTATAAATACTTTTCAAAACAAAATTGTTGCTCATGGAAATTCAAATAAAGGGGTGCAATTTGAAACCTGTAAATCTTTAAGTCTGAGTGAGTTACAATGAATATGCACATATTGGACTGTTGAGAAATGAATTTCATGTTTAGGTTCAAGCTTTCAGGCTTTTGAATTAAAATTTTTCATGATCATTGCACCATTTATCTTTGTGTCAAAAGAAGCAAATAAAGATCTACAAATCAGACTTGTTGAAATCCAGTGGGACTCCGTTATAAAATCACAGTTTAATGAGATGTGCATGCTTAAGTTTTATTATTATTTATGTACAAATCGGTTCCTAAAATACTCCAGTTTGTATTCCAAATATGTGTGATGTTTGTCAGTACTTACATGTCTAAGCATCTGTTGTTCTCACGGAAGGAAACAAGACTCCAGGAAATGAGTGTTAACAGGCACAGCCTTGTCATCAGTGATAGATGTAAAATTAATCAGGAATTTAAACTTAACATTGGTAAGCTGAGTGCAAGTAAAATATGTCAAGTCTCTGGATGAACTATTTACCTAGTGGAAAAAATGAAATAATTAATAATGTTAGCCTTCACTTCTACATGTTCAAGCTAACAGAAAACTGAAAAATGTTTTTCTGAAATTCATTATTGGTTTATTTAAGGGCGTGCGGTAGTGTAGTTGGTTGAGTGGCTACGCTAGAAGCTGGAACGTCGCGGGTTTAAGTCCCGATGAGGTCATTGGATTTTTTTCAATTGACCTAATCCTTCCAGCAGCACTATGACCCTAGGGATGACTTAGCCTCTAACAGAAATGAGTACCAGGAATTAATTAAATAATTTTCCTCGGGAGTAAAGCGTGGCCAGCACGTAAGGCTGACAACCTTACCGCCGTCTTTGAGCCGATTGTCTAGGTAATGTGGGATCCTCAACATCTCACAAGCCTATGGTCTTTCATGGCCTGGTACAAGGATAGCTTTACTTTTTTTTACTTTACTTTTTCAACAGTTCACTGTCAAATGGTAGAGTAATCACTGAATAAGAAATTGGAAAAAGTGTGGAAAGGAGCATTCATTACAGCATTACAGTAAGTTATAACCATGAAAACTCTGAATCAGGATAGTCTAATGCCTGGCTAAAATTTTAACCGAGGACCTTCCAAAGCAGAACAGCTGTGTGAACCCCTTGAACCCAACATTTGGTGTCGGAAACTCTGAAAGAAATTTTAAAGAGCTGTAATTGTTACAGTAAATAAATGTACTCTATCAATAATTGTTCCTCTCTTATCTACAAAAGTTATAGTAGCCTGAGTTACTATTTAGACAACAAAAAACACTGGGAATCCACAACTGGACTCAAACAAGCCAAAGGATTAATATCAGGACCCTCTGCCAAAAAGAACGAGGGACCTGTTAAAATTAAACAAGAGATCAACTAAGATGGGTGGTAGGATTACTTACTGGACACTGCCACCTAAAAGGGCACCTTTTCAAACTGGGACTGACAGACGACCCAACTTGTGCGAGGTGCCTACAAGAAGATGAATCAGGCAATCAGGCACACACATCGTATGTGATTGTGAGGCTATAGCTTACCTAAGATATCACCACCTGGGTCAGTTGTTCATGGAACCAAGTGACTTTTGTGACACCCCCATAAATAAAGTCCTGCATTTCATTCAAAGTGTAGGATTAATGAAGGATTAATCCAAAAGGGAAGCAAGTAGATCTTTGAAGGTCACAGTGGGAGGGCTGGTTTTTATGGCTCACCCCTCATACTCATACTATTTGGACAAAAAGAAATTGTGGGCAACCTGAGACATTTATCGTCATTTCAGTCACATCACTGTGGCCATTTTGCGGTAAAAAGAGATATTTATTTTATGTTATGTGCCAATCCTTCTTATACACTAAACCCTTTTTAACAGTGAAATGTAATTACAGCTTCATGTAAAATAGAGGCTCTTAAACTGTTACAGACCAAATTAAGTTCATGCTATGGTCTTTAGTGGAAACCCTTGATACCAAATTTCATAAAAATGCAGTGAGTAATTTCAGAGTCATAACATATGTAGTTGTGATCTTCATGTTATATGCTCTTGTCTTATGTAAAATGATGCTATTGATGTAATTTATTTGTTTCAGTGGGCAGTACCCAGCCGCATATTCAAGTGATCTTGCCCCACAACCAATGATGAGAGGGCATCAGTTAGTAGCAAGAAAACAGCTAAATAATAATTAATAATAATTACATACAGTAAAGCAGTAAAACAGAAGTTAAAAGCATTCTCCCATACAGTGCACATGCCAGTAAAGGAATAACTATTTTGCTGGGAAGGCAGATCAGAGATTATTAGCTCCTGATGAAGGATGAGATTGTTATTGTTAATGTAAGATGTCAGCCCAGTGCTTGGGACTTTATGAGGGAGCTCTGCGTGATGGAAAAAGGTTGTACTAGAAGCTGTGAAGGAAAGTATGGAGAAGTGCATTATATTTTGATCAATTCTACTCCATTTCCTTCAGTTATTTTAAAGGATCAACAGGTTCTTAAGGATTGAGAACTAATTGCCTTATATCCTCTGTTGGCCTTGTTCAGTAGTGTATTCTATATCTGCCTCTCACTGAAACAAAACAAGAGAACTGTGACTGCATAGTGTTCATAGCGTTAAAATAAGTGAATGGGAATGTGGAAGTGTCTGGAGCATCTGTTATAGCTAGAACTGGGCTAGATGCACGGAAGCCTCCACTTACAGTGTGGTAGTCGAGAGACTTGTTCCTAATATCTGACCTCAAGTCGGTAGTGGAAGAAATAAGGAGGGATTCAATCTCTCTCTGTGCCCCATCAGGCAGTCCTGTACCCCAACAGTATTCAGTTATACATAAAATAGATAAAGTATACTTTTGTACACAGTGCTGCTATTACCATGTATTCCATGGTATATTGCTTTATATGGTGTTCTTTAATCTTGGAATACTAAAGGGAGTAAGATTAGGAAACATTTATTAGTTAACCTAGGAGGGATAGGGTTTTTCTCTGTGTTTATACTTCCCTTATGTGTCTTGGGGAAGTAATCAAGAAACAGATAAGCCTGTGCATATCCCTAAGTGGTCGAACTTCATGAGCATGAAGTTGGCCCTAAATACACATTATTTTGTGCAACATGGCCATTGTTGTATATAGTAACTGATCATCTGCAAATGAAACTGAAAATAGAGTATAAAAATCTGTCCTTCATAGTTCACATTACTGTTTCTTATAACAGTTTGTGCCCCATAACATTTTCTGTTTCTTCACATTGTGTGATTATTACTTCATGTCCGATTCTGTATGGGATAGGAAGTCAGGTCATCAGAAGATTGTGCAGGAGGCATCTGTATTGTGACAGGATGATCCAGGGATAAGTCAAAACATAAAGCAAGTTCTTGTTACTCTGTCATCAGGACTCTTCTTACAGGCCTTTATAGAACTTCATCAGTATTACTGCATTGTTCTTATTTTTAGGGAATGACAGTATTAAGAGAGAACGCTTTACACTTGAATATGTGATGTAACTGAAAGATCGTTGTCAGCTGGTACACTGACACATTGAGAACATGATCTGACTCTTGAAGTATAGTTAGAATTCTTGCCAGAAATGAGAAAAGTGTAAAAACATATATTTATAGCATTAAATTTTATATTTTTCTTGTCATTCTGGGCAAAGAATACTCTCCCTTTTATGCTCAGTAATTGAGAGCCTCTTTTCTCTGCCATTGACTGTAAGGTTGATGTTAGGAGGGGAATACATTTCCACACGTGCTCTTTTCTAATTTAAAATAGCATGTTATATATGTTATGTCTAGTGGATATTCTGACATGGTTCAGTTATAACAGCCAACAAGTTCTGAACTTTGTTATTGATGAATATTTATCATACATATAGTGTAAATTCAATTCTAGATAAATTTGGCAGCATTTTTAGTGCAGAATGTAACATTGTTATATCAATTAATTAAATTTTTGGTTTGATTATAAACATTTGCATTACTAAAATCTGTTTCATATAAGTCATGTATATACCCTATTTGCATTTACATGTCCCTCAATTTGTTTCATTTTTCTTAACGAAAGTCAGGAGAAATGCACCTTCAGTTAAATGAGAATGAAATATTTTTCAGTTGCACCTTTAGCCAATTTTTAATTTTACATTAATTTATCCTTTTCTCTTCTTAATTATCTTAATTTCTGTGATTTATGGCAAAATGTAAACAGGTCATTCCTTTTTAGCTTGATTCTGTATCATAATGTGTACACCAAATCTGTGTGTGCAGTAAACATTGTCTATGAGACTGTGTGGTAGTTGGACTGGCTTAATACAAAGAAATATTGTTAAAAAATTGTATTCCTGTGCTTTGAAATTCAGCAACTGTAGGACTATCTACTTTTTGTGAACCTCAGTAACTGAAACATTAGAATTCTGTCAGAACTGATATCAGTCTTATTTCCTGCAGCTGTAGATCCCAGTCTACATAATATTTGTGCTGTGTTAAACTAGCAGGTACTAGCCATCTGTAATGTGCAGCAGAACCATGGAGTAACAAGTTGCAGTGTGGTTTATCCCATTGTCTGGTCTTCTTTCAGTCAGTGGTATGTGGTTACTGTGACACTGTGATTATGGGAAGCATTTTCTTATTAATGCTAATTAAATTAAGGGATTCAGTATTGTGCTTTATGCCATAAAACTTATTGGCATGATATTAATTTTGTGACATGACCTTAACAACTAGGACATTTTTTCCACTAAATTGGAGAGTTTCGGGTTATTTATTCTGATTCTTTGTGTGTTCTTAACACACTTCTAAAACACAGAATGGACTGAGAAGTCACAATCACTCTATGCAACATGCATCTAAGGGATTGACAACACCTTCCTAGCTCGGCTCATTTCTTTCCATTTTCATCCTGACCACCTTGTGGTCTAATGGTAAGACTGTACACTCTCGTTCAGAAGGTTCTGACTTGTCTCTGATCAAATCTGTGTGCGTATTTTCTACACACAGGTTTAAACCTTCACCTTCACCAAAGACAAAGCCTCACCCATGGTTTGGAGCTCATGTTAGACTAAAACCCCTTCTCATGATCATCTTCCCATAAGGAGCAACAGGATCTGCCTTATGGGTGTTCCCATTTTTTAAACAGATTATACATCTTTAAGTGAGTAGAAGTCAGAGAGATAAACATTGACGATATCTGGAGACCTGGACAAATAGCAGTAGCATTTTACATATATAAAATTTGCATTACAATTTCATATCATGTTTATAGCACAGTTAAAAGTAAAATGCTGAAAAAAAATGCAGTTTCTGTTGTAAGCACACAACAGCAAAATTTGTTCTTACTGCTTATCTTCCTGGCTACTGCAAATCCCTATCAGTTCAGCCAAGGAACATTTATTTTTGTCATTAAACTTCTGAAAGGATAGCCTGTAACTGCACTGCTACTTGCATGCCTTTACATCATGTACTCATATAACTGACATGAAATAGAATGGCACTTGTGATTCAGTTAGTTGTTGGTGACATTTAGCAAAGATTCCATTGACTTGATAGTTTTTAAAAGAATGACCAAGAAAGTGAGTAACTACTGTTGTTTGTGATAGTACACCAAACCAACTCCTCTCCAGAATCACAGACTTGCAAGGCAGTTATACTGAAAATCATCTTAAATGTACCTTTCTTCCTCCAGTGACACTGAATTGAGTGTCCAACTAATTCTTGACATGGATGCATATGTGAGAGAAACTATTAATTTGGCTAGTTTATTGCTCTTTCCTTGAAAAAGCAGCAAACTGTCAAAAATATGCTTTCTATTGCTCATATAAAATTGTCATTTCAAACTGCTTGACATTGCTGCATGTGGTTGGATTATTCAATATCAAAATAAGCTTACATGTTTATGAAAGGATCTCTTTGTAGAGATCTTGAGTCAAGTACTTCATTCCCTTGCCATTATATGTAGCTATCTTATCAAGTACTGTTTCTGGGCTATTAGTGTGAAGTGAGTTCCTTCAGGTGGTATTTATAAAAACTTTATTTCTACAGTGAAAATGTAGTGTTTTTGTTAAACTACATAAATAGAAATGTAAACGGAGTTTAACCGCTAGAATGATAAGTTAGCAGCTTTCATTTGATCTACCCATTTCCTTAATTGGAACTTCTTGGTTCAGTTTTATCATTACAATTGCCTCGTCTTTTTCTTTTTCTTTTTTTTTTAAATACATTTAAATTTGCTTTGGTTACAAATCAAAACTAAGTGGACATTCTTTTATGTCATCACAGCCTCCACATTCTTCTGCTACTATTCTGTTTGTCAGTGGATAATGTTTGTGCAGGTAGTATACATGTACTGTGATCTGTGTGCACCCCTGATATTGATAAAAGGCCACTTATTCAGATCTCCACCCTCTTTTCACTCTTTTGAGTATGGTTGATCATTTTATTCAGTAATCTTGTTATCACATTTTTTCCATTTGTGTTTGCCTTAGAGGTAGCAGCAAATTGATGATTACAATAAACACTGAACATAAATGCTTGGTTTAGCTGTGTCATATATTGAAACTGTTGCAGTGTTATAGCATACTATCACCGTATTCTGTTTACCCAGATGATTGTGACTGCAGTGTACATTGCCACATTGGAATAGTGTGTACAGCTTTTGCTATGTAATAGGCGAATAAACAGTGGTGTTATGCAACCTGTTTCTAGGCAGCAGATTAGTAAACATGTTCCTGCATCAATGAATATGCACACAACAATAGAGTTAGTGTTGGAAATGGTGTTTTCTGATCGGTCAGTGCAAAGTGGTTATAAGGAGGACAGTTGGGCCAAACAGTAAGTTGAAAGTCCAGCTGTGAAGAGAAGACTGTGTGCTGTAGTTACAGTGTTAAAATCTGTTGCCAGGATAAGACTAATGAAGATGGAAAAGACTTAGCATGTGGTATTTTGTAAAGTGTGGAGATTGATGATAGGGTTGTAATTACTTGCAGTTCTGAGTGATGTGTATAAATGGTCAGTAGATCTGTTCACCAATCCATACCCCCTCTGTAGTCACCCCTAAATCATGACATCTGGCACCAGAAATGGTTGGATTGGAAACTGCATTGGCTCATGATTCCTCCATACTTCAAACATGGAAAAAATGATCAAACATCTGATAGCCACTGTAGGAGGGTCCCAGAAGAAGTTGGCTGCCACCTGTAGAAGGATGACTTGCCACGCAGGAATGGCACAGCGTAAGGGACATGGTCATAAAGGACTGCTGGTCGAACATAGATGGAGAAATTGGACCACAGACAGTTTTGCAAGAGGATCGTCAAAAGTACGGATGTTCAGGAAGAGATGTCAAGTGAAACCAGGAGGCAACACTGCAATATGGAACCAAGGCATGAGAAAGCAGCTGTGTCTGAGGAGGGAGAGGGCAACCAGCAACGACATCAGAGGATGGAGCAAGAGACAAGAGCCACATCTGTGAAGCAGGGCAGCACACTCCAGGATCTTCAGGAAGACCATAGAGCCGGAGATTGCACAGCAAATAGTCAGGACTTCCATTAAACTGCGGAAAATGTGTGATTGGACATTGTGGAGGGGTCAATTCAGCAGAGATGGCACACACAGTAGGTGCATTGACCACCCTCAAAACTTTTGGCCTAACAAACCATAGGAAGATGATGATGATGATAAACCTGGACAGATGGCCACCCTATGAAGGAACTGCTCAGAACAAGAGCAGCAGAAGCGTTTGGAGAGTAAACACCTTGCAAACTGAGCCATAAAGAGCAAAGTGTTGCAAGCACACCCCTTGCAAAAGAAGAAATCTTGGTACACTGGAGGTTGTTGGGGATGAATATCTTTAAGGAGGGAGCAGTATAGTGTCTACAACCATTGCTGTGCAATAGGTGAATATACAATGGTGTTATGCAACCCGTTTCTAGGCAGCGGGTTGGTAAACATATTCCTGCAGCAACAAATACACACAACAATAGAGTTACTTTTTGAAAAGGTGTTTTGTACTCATTCTGTGCAACATGGTTATAAGGAAGACAATTGGGGCCACCCAGTGAGTTGAAAGTCATCCTTTGAAGAGACGACTTTGTGCTATAAGAGTATTAAAATCCATTTGCTAGCACTTCGCGGACCGGCGATTTAAATATTTAAATCACCCTGGGGACCCGGCATTTTTAAACCTACTACCCTAACTTGTGCACTGTTCACTTTAAAAATTAATATAAAAATTCCTAATTAATTTTATGAACTAAAATTTTTGGAGAACACTTTCCAGTGCTCCTAGAAATGCTTGAGAGTATGATATCTCTGGAAACATTCCCCTTTGTGAAGTGGCATTACAGAGAACTTGCAAATGTAGACATGCTCCTTTTTTTGTGAACTGTGGAAACATGGCGTTGCCTAGAAAGATGCTTCCCCTTGGAATGTTCACTTTTCACAATTTTCACAAAGGTATGTTTCCGCATATCATCTGAGAGTCGCCCTGTGGGATCCACATGAGGCTTGCATGGGGTGGGATTGGATGGGCACGGTCGCACTAAGTCTGTGTCTGACTCTGGTTCTGCCGCCACCATCTGGTCTGTAGCCCAGGGCTTTGCCACATTCATCAGAAATGCTTTGTATTTAAATTTTGAATCAGGGTTTAGATTTTTGTGATTTTTTAAATTTTTACTGTCCCTGCAATGTTAGTCACCGCAATGTTACATTATCGTCAGAGCTACGGTCACTTTTACTGTCTGTGGCCACATTTCTTTGCTCTCCCCTGTCACTGCTGCTCTCTCAAACACCATAACTACTCACCTCACAAGGCAGGTCAGCTGGCTCATTGGAAAAGAATTTGTCCTTGTCCATACCCCAACACTAACTACTGGCTGATACATACAGCTTGAAGAGCAACAAAGCATTATCGCTTATAGTGGCTTAAGAAAACAGCAAGATCAACATACTGACAAGTAAGCGAATATTCCAGAGTTTATTACGCCATTGCGTGCAACTTGGGTGGCGCCAAAGAGATGTATAGTGTGTTGCAACTTATCGTGTTTTAAAAACACGGTCCGCCATGTTTAAAAGCGAAAAACATTTTAAAGGGTGCATGGTCCGCAAAGTGCTAGGATATGACTAGTGAAGATGGAGAAGTCTTAGCATGTGGTGATTTGTGAAGGGTGGAGGTTAGCAATAGTTCTGTAATTACTTGTAGTACCAAGTGGTGTGTATAAGTAGTCATTAAATCCATTCACCAATCCATATCCCGTCTATAGTCACGCCCCAAAATCATGACAGTACAGTGCTTCTGAACCCCACTGGGGATACACATTTGACGTAAGCTGTGAGAACCAAAGGACAAAACAATGAACATACAGGCAGTGTTAATTTAAATTACAGGGAACATCCTTCCTTCTTGTGTTCCTGTATCTCCAACTTTGGAGCATAGGGCATCTGTGAAAAGCTTCATTTCATTTCAGTTTCATAATCTAAGACAGTCGGTAGGACTCCTTGGATCAGCCCATTGCAAGGCCACTGCATACTCAAAGACATCCGTGCTTTAAGTAGGATTGAAACTGATGATCCCAGCATTTGAGCAAGTGAAGACAGTTCATGCCTTAGTCTGTGCGTCCACTGTGATCAGCTTTTGCAGTAATCAGTGTATATAAATAAGTGCTGTACTTGTTTTTAACATTCTGGCCCTATTATATTGTGCCTTGCATTGAAATCTATGGTACTGCAAGCATCCACTTAACAAAAATGATCAACATAGGAATGTCATGTTATAATCATTGGCTTAAGTGTATGCAAGACAAGCCTAACCCCACCATCTTGTGTAACTTATTTTGGATTGGATGAGGGGATTTCAATAAGTAAGGGCAAAATGTGTTATATTGAGATGCACATCATATATACAGACCAAAATAAGATTTTATTTTTCCACGCAGTCACCATTCTTTGCAATATACTATTAACATCTTTCAACAAGCTTCTGTATTCTAGTAGAAAAGAAAAAGTGTTTGCTTGTTGTCGAAGCCAGAAATGCACTGCTTCCTTCACCCTGTCTTCGGTGCAAAAACTTCATCCTCACAGTGCTTCCTCAAGCATGCCAAACACTTAACAGTCAGTTGGAGTGAGGTCTGGACTGTAAGGGGGATGATTTATCATCTCAAGTTTCAGTTTCTGGATGATGGTAACTGTTGCAGCAGCAGTGTGTGGTTGTCCATTGTCATGGATAAGTGGAATGCCTTTGGACAGAAGTCCATGATGATGACTGCAAATTGCAGGCTTCAGTTTCTCTTCCAGCTTGGTGCTGTACCTTACACTGTTGACTGTCTCTCCCTTCTCCTGATAATGTTCAAGAATTGGTCTGTTCATATCCCAGAACAATGTCAGCATAATTTTTCTGGTACAGGGTACCGACTTGAACTTTCTCTTGGAAGGAGAGGGTGTGCATCGTCATTCCATGGATTGTCTTTTGGATTCTGGTTCATAATATGAACCCAGGTTTCGTCCTCTGTGACAATACGTGCAAGAAGCTGTCCACCCTCAGCATGGTAATGTGTGGAGAAAGCTCTGCAATTCAGCACACGCTTCAACTTCTGTTCCTCAGTTAACTGTCTCGGCACCCACCTGGAACACAGGTAGTGAAATTTGAGAGTTTCATGAATGATACCATATGCAGATCCAACGTTAATGTTCAGCATAGTGGCAACAGGGTCCACAGAAATCCTCCTATTCTCACCAGTAAGTGCGTCCATGTGAGCAGTGTTGGCATCACTGACAGCTGTGCATGGGTGACCTGAGTGATGTTCATCAGTGACAGATGTACCGCCTTCTTGAAATCTTTCTACCCACTCGTACACTTTCCATTCACTCACAGCTTCCACCATACTGCTGAATCGTTCTTCTGTGAATCCCCCTCAGTTACACTCCTGACCACAAAAATCGTATTACAGAACCTGCCCTATAGATGTCTACATTGTGTAGTAGTTCCAGAAGGTTGCATCCAGTCTTTTTAAATAGTCAGTCAATTTGCCCTTACTTATTGAAATAGTCACAAGCATTATTTGACTGAGTTGGTATTGCTTATAGCGTGGTCTCAGCAAAGTATAAGAAATTCTAATAAGTTTTCAGTAGATAGACTTGAAAGGATTCTGATGATGGTGTATACTGTACTTCTTTTGGCTTATTTTGGACTTCACGCATTGTCTGATTGAGACTAGCTCTTTCTAGCGGGCCCAACTGAGTAGGTTTATGCTTCCCTATCCACCTGAAGACGGAGACAGATCCAGTCTCCGAAACGTCATGGTCATTTGTCTTTTACGTACCAGACGATGGGTGAAGTCCAAAATAAGCCAAAAGAAGTAAAGTTTTCAGTAGTTGAATAGTTCAGTAGTTCAGCACAGAGAAGATTTTATGTTACCTTGTAATCTATTAAGTGGAACAATGGTTAAATATAAGAACTTGTTTGTTACAGTATGTAAAACAGTAGTAAATATTTTGTTTCAGTGATGCAGATATAGATGATGGTATAAGTTAACAATATGGAGATGGCAGTCATTCAGAGAATATTGATCCTCCTGTTGTGAGAAAGAAGTACACAGAACAGGGAAACATAAGTCATAGTCAGACACATGAACAAATTAAGTGTGCAATGTATGGTGCATGTAAATTGGTATGCATGCTACCAGGAAATTTTAGCAGTAACTTCATTGTTGAAGGTATCTGGAGTTGGAAAAGAGCATATATTATGAAATGAGGATGGAGTTTTTAGAGACAAAGTAATGAGTGCATGTGATCTGTGTGTTTGTTGGCATTAATTTTGCTACTTAAGTGCAAGTTATAATAACATCACACCTACAAGTAATAGCTGCAGTCTGCAGTAGGAGAGCAATGAGTATAAATGCAGTTTGGTTGTACTGTGAGTTTATACATTGCCAACATTAAAATTTGGCTTGATGTTAAACATTGGTGCCAGTGAATACTCATATTCAGTCTAGTGTATTATTGGACAACATTTGACAGCTTTCTGCCTCCCCACAAATAGGTCATTCTAATAATTTGCACAGGGTTGGCAAGCCTGCTTCATGGAATCAGCTTAGAATGATAGCTGATCACTGATAAAGTGCTATACCACCCTTCAGAACAATCTGAGTTTTGATTGTGACCATGGTCCTGCCACTAGATGGTTGACTGAGGCACAATTTAGAATAAATTTTATATTGAAATAAAAATAAATACCATAAAGTGATAAAACTTATTATTATTCATTTGATGTTGGTTGTCAAACCTGTCACTGTTCAAATTTCTTACATCCTGTTATGTAAACTTCCAGCTATCTTGCCTGTATGGAGAAAGGGTATGCTGCTAACATGAATCTTCTGGTTGCATGAGAAAACTCTTAGAGAAACCCAATACATGTTCACACTTTGTTCTTACATAGGAGTCCTGTTAGGAGACAATGGATTGATGGATGAAAGATTCCAGATACCTGTACTCTAAGATTATGACAAATTCAGCTGGGCTGTACTTTAATGGTACCCACAAGAGGGGGGACAATGGGCATTTTACATGCTCTTCTCTAACATTAACGTTTATTGATAACCCCTTGGTAACAGATGCAATTCTCTGCAGTTGGCATTTCTATAATGATGTTAACACTCCTGGTGGCTAATCCACAAAACACAAATTCACAAAATTACTGGGGTTTTGGACTTTTTCCATCATCTGGAATTTTAGGTAATAGAGGACATGAGAACACATTGAGAAATTGGCTCTTGAATCGGCACAACATAAACCATTGCTGTGACTCCAGTACATTGATGACACGTTTGTGGTCTGTCCATCCAGTTCACCATGGAGACAGAATCAGACTGCAATTTATTTTCTTGATATGCTGGTCAGGAGGGAAGAGATGACACTAGCCACCAAAGTCTACAGGAAACCCACCAACACTGGCTGGTACCTCAACTTCAACTCTAACCATCCACTACATGTGAAAAGATGTTTGAATCAGAGTCTGCACAACAGAGCTTCCACCATATGCCAAGGACAAGACTGAGTTAAAGAAATCAGCAGCCTGAGAACTGATCTCCAGCTCAACGGTTATCCTCAAGGTTTCATTGACTCCAAGGGTAGCAGTCGTCCAAATAAAGAGCAAAAGCCCCTGGGCTTTGTGTACATCCCATATGTGAAGGATATTTCTGAGAAGTTCAGACATAGGGAATCGATACAACGACAGGATGATCTCCAGAACTAAACACACACTTAGGAGTTCACTCATGAGAACAAGGCCAGAAAGAGATCTGCAACAGGTGGCACAGTGCATCTACAGTATTCCCTGTGAGTGTGGAAGAAGCTATATTGGGGAAACAGGGAGACCTCTAGCCGTGCAGCTCCATGAAGATAGGCACAATCTCCAACAGTGTCTTCTAGAAAAATCAAAATTAGTCCAACATGCCTATGAAGGAGGTCACAGAGTAGGGTGTGATGATGCCAGGATTTTGGAATTTGAAAGTAACAGCAGGTATAGGAAATATAAGGAATCGGCCCATATGGCATGCTTAACGAATCCAATCAGCCAACCCAGTTTGGACATTTCTCCTATCTGGATACCCGTCATCAGCAATGAGGTTTCTAACTCGCAGAGAAGATCTGTATGACATGACACTCTTCATGCATTTCCACAAGGTTCCAGTCTCAAGTGTTCAGGTTCCTCCACAGATGGCACTAGTTCGCATTGGTGCTCATGCATTTGGTTTTTGTCAGCTAGGTTTCTAGCACAGATTTCTACCTCCTTTTCTAATCTAGTTCCATGCATGTGCGTGTTGTATCACAATTTTTATTTTATGGTTTCTTGTTATCGCCCACTGAACTAGCCTAGTCTTATACGTTGAAATAGCTGGGTAAATCTGACAGGAGTTGTCCAATGATTGAGATTAGCTCTTTCTAAGGGGCCCAACTGAGTAGGTGTCTTCCTTTCTCACTTGAAGACGGAAACAGATCCGGTTTCCGAAATGTCATATCCTCTGTTACCTAAAATACTGGACAATGGAAAAAGTTCAAAACCCCAGTAATTCTGTGTGTCATCGACCATTATCAGAACCCTTCGGAATCTACAAGTTCACAAATTATTAGTTTTCTGTTGGCAATGTCTTTTTTATTTACATTGGTAGTGTTTTGAATTTCTTGCATAATGGAAGTGCTGTTTGTATCATTCTCTGCATTTTTCTACCGTTACATTGTGTTGTGAGAGCCTGTGAGAATTCATCAGTTTTCATCCATATAGTGACGGCAAAATGCGAGTGCAGTATTAATGACCATATTAAGAGCAAATATCTGTTAATTGAAGGCATGAATTAGAATACTGACAGCATGTTATGGAACGCAAAATTTTGCATTGTACATGATGGTCAGTGGAATGTCAATCATGTGAAGAAAAAAAAACTGTCTCTTCAAAACAAAGCTTCCAGTAAGAGCATAAGTAACTACTTAAGTAGGAAGAATATTAGTGAAATGGAAAAGCAGTTACCGCTAGTAGCACAGGAAGCAACCTTTGCATATCATACTGCACTGCATAACCACTGTTTCAAATCCTTGGACTGCACAACCACTATTGTGAGGAAAGTTTCCAATGATAAATTTACATGTTCACAAACAAAATGAGCAGTAATCACCAATGTTATCTTGCCATTTGCAAGAGAACAGATTCTTCAAGAGCTAGAAGAAGTTTATTTCATTTCTGTATTGACTGACTCATCTAACCATCTGGACAAGAAGTTAAGTACCTTTGATTGTTGGATATTTTCATGCAGAAAAAGGTGTGATGGTCAGAGTGCTAGAGTTAGTTATTTTAGGTGTTGAAACTTTAGATCAGCTGCTTTCTTATGTGTTAGAAATGTTCTAGAAATTGGATTTCCTTGAAAAAGTTATTGCAGTATCAGCAGATAATACCAACACAAACTTTTGCGGTAAGAAGAGGAAAGGGAACAATAATCTGTACTACAGACTGCAAGAAAAAGTATGAAAAACTTGATTGGTATTGGTTGTCCTGCACAGTGCAGTGCAGACTGCTGGAGACTGCTTACCTATTGATCTCCAGTTAATAATAATATTTATCAGCATTTCCACATTAATTGTATATGAGTTGAACTGAAATCATTTTGTGAATACACTGAAACAGAGTATAAAACTTTTGGGTCATAACAAGATAAGATGGTTCTCCCTCTTACCTGCAGTACCGAGAATTATTGATATTTTCCCTGCAGTAAAATCTTATTTCCTTTCCCTTGAGAAGTGTCCAGTCAGCCTTCAGAATTTCTTTGAAAATCCAATTTCATTCACCCTCTTACATTTCCTTACCAACCAATTATAAATCTTTTCCTTTACCATAAAATGTATTGAAATGCAGGATACCACAATAATTGAAGTGAAGAATGAAATTAGCAAACTGTTATACAAAGTAAATTGTTGGAAGACAGATTTCTTACAATTGCTGTGAGTGATGAGCTGCAAGAACTAGAAAAAGGACATATAACCATTGAAAAGTTTAATAACTATGCAGAAGGTTTCTATGATACCTGCATTGAATATATTCAGGAATAGTGTTTGTCGTTTCTTATGCCTCTTCAGCCTATGGATTGGATCAATCTGAAAGGAAAGGTGACTTGGAAGAGTGTACAAGTTAAGTATGTTTTCATGATGACTGTGGTACCTCATTTGTCACTGAATGAAGATGACTTTTTTGATGAGTTTTCATATGTACAAAAATATTGTGAAAGCAAATTGAAAGTGTGGAATGAAAAAATGACCAAAATGTTACTGAAAAGTGGTATGAAATGTTGGCTTGTCTTACAAAGGAGAACATGAATGCTGTCAACATAAATGCCTACTTAGTTTTGGTTTGGCACTGCTAGGATCTAATGCACTGATTGAGCATGTTTTCTCAATAATAAATGTGTTATGGTCAGATGAAAAACAAGACTTAAAATAAAAACAGTGAAAGCCTTAACCATTGTCAAGACCCACTTTAAACATTTCTCTTGTTCAGAGTTGTTTTCCCCAAATATTGAAAGAAAAAGTGTTCCTGTAACAGGTTCACAAATCTGATAAGTATTCAGATGAAACTGGGAAGGCTTTCATAGAGTGAAAGTCCAGTTTGTCCTTGTACTTAATTAAATAAGCACTACGTCATGAAGGTGTGTGGAGGAGTGGATGTATAGACCCACGTTTTCTTGACCTCAGCACTAGTTGGAGGTGAGTGGTCAGCTTCATGCCCCAGCCACTTTACCCTCGGGGAAAGAGCCCTCCCTCCCATACCCATTGCATAAGAGGTTAGGTGGACCCCAGAGCTGGTCTGGACGACATGGAGAAGTGAAAATTCTTGACCCCGCCAGAACTTGAACTCTGACCCCTCTGTCGTCCAGCCAGTAGCTAGTCACTTATACCAACTGCACTATCCCAGCTCACTTTTTGCAGAATAAGACATACATTTTATTTTTGTGTAAATTTTTTAAGTGCTGTGTTTCTAAATTAATAACTTTGAGCTCGTTTTTACATGTATATGTGTAAATTTCTCAAAGTTTAATATATAATGTATTATTGGTTTTTTATTTTTATTAATTTTTATCATGTCCCGGTTTTTGTGGACAAAAATGGAAATGTCCCATTTTGTGGGAAAAAAAAAAAATTGAACCTTATGCCAGAGACAGCTGGGAGATCTGCTTGGCAGGCGAACATGTATGCATCACAGATTTCTTTTTGACAAATTTCCTTCAGAATTGTTTTCAGTTGGATAAGAATGTGATTGGGGAGTTTACTGTGCATTGTAACAGAGAAGTTGTGTGTTTAATTAATTGAGCACTATGCCATGAACACATATGGGGGAGTGGAGGTACAGTCCCACTGTTCTTGACCTGAGCACTAGATGGAGGTGAGTGGTCAGCTTCATGTCCCTGCTGTTTTACCCCCCAGGAAGGAGCCCCCAGTACCCATTGGATAGGAGTCTGGGTGGGCTGGGCTCCAGAGCTGGCATAGACATTGTGGAGAAGATAAAAATCTTGCACTGCTGGAAGTCAACTCCAGGCCGTGTAGCCCATTAGTATACTGACTGAGCTTTCCCAACTTCCAACAGAGAAGTAAACTGTTATAAAGTACTTGAAGTAGTGTTTTTATTAAATTATAATAATTTTGTAGTATTTGAGGTTCTTAACAGCAGTGGTTATGAAGAGTTCTATCTTCTGGGATATAACGCCGTGTAGTCCGTTGAAGGTCAACCAACGTTTTGGAGGAACGTGTCTCCATTTTCAGAGTTGAAGAATGGGCCACACAAGCAACCAGCATGAAGCAGATGTCAAGCAGAGATCTGGTTTCTTGCTTGAGTTATTCTTTGACTCTGTAGATGGAGGCGACATGTTCATCCAAAAAAGTTAGGTGACTTTCAATGAATAATATGGTATTACATACCAGAAGATATAAATACCAGTTTTGCTTTAAATTATGTTGACCCCTCTTCCCACATTACAGCAGTAGTATCTGCCACGAGCATCACCAGTGTACTTGGTCAGTTTGGAACATTCAGTAGGCAATAGGATCAGTTTGTGGTGTCACAATATATGTGACGTAGATCATAACTAGTGCTATAGCTGGGAATGGGAATTTTCTCATTGTGGAATATTATATGCTTTTCTCTATACAATTTGAAAGTCATCCTATGTAACATACCTGCACTTCGCAAGGTGTTATAGTAAGGGGAACATGCTGTAAGGAATAAAAATTGTGACGAGGAGGGGCCAATCTTGGTGACCAAACAGGAGGGTCGCTTGTTATGGACCGATTCGCACGCACTATCATAGTAACATGCGCGCTCCCACCTCCGACATGTGTACTGGTGCTCCTACGTAGCAGTGGTCGCAGTGGTTGCGGAGAGAGAGAGAGACGTGAGAAGTAGATATCTGTCGAAGTTTTCCTAAATTTGCGGCATATTAGGTTCAGTTGCCAGTGACTAACGGTATACATAGGGCGGGAGAGTGTTTGTTGTCGGCTTCTTGAACTTCTTGAACGAAACAAGCGTAAACAAATGAAGTGCTCCTCTACATCATAGCGATCATAGCCATCATAGCTTTTACGGCTCGCGATCATGAACTCCCGCCTGTGCCGGTAAGGATGCATATTATTTTTATGGCCTCTTTACTTTAACATTATCCATCCCTCATACAAGTAATACACAAGACCTGCACGGAACTATATACCACAAGATCTTCCAAGGGATGAGTGTATCGGCCATATCGGAGTGTTGCTGGTTTTGTGGTTTTTGCTGGCGCGGAGGTGAATGTTTTCATTATGGACGTATATTTTGTATTTTAATTACTGTTGATCGATATGGAACTGAACTGGAATAAGCTTGATGTCAAACTCAGTGCTTCAACCAAGAAAACTATCCACGAAATGGGATTTGAGAGGATGACACCTGTTCAGGTGAGGTTAAGAGAATGCATGAACATTGAATCTGACCTGACCTTTAGGCTGTAAGAAGGGAATATATATATACTTTTCTCATATATTGCTAATTAATTCCACAAGCTACAGCGAAACTAGGTACGTCACATGCCAATAATTGGACATCACTGTTCTGAGCATTGGAATCAGAGGTTTGCATGAGAAAAGTAGAATCTACGTGGATTTTGTAGTGCTAATAGTGTGAAATTGTTGAACAGACATTTCGGTTCTACCCAAGTACATGCCCTTTGTATGTGTGAACTCATGGTTTTTGTGCGAATTCCCACATGTAAAGACAAAAATAATGTTCGGCGGTTTGAACGTTTTAGGTATGTAATTATATCGTGTTTATTTTAAACAGGTATCCGTTTTAGAAATAATGTTTTCTGTGTTATATTTTAGCGTCCTGTTGCACTGATTTAAGTCCATGATTTATTTAATCCGTCTTGCAGTGCATACACTCATTTATNACGAATGTACAGCAGGTTTAAAAATTCATGCATAATTTTTCTAACCATATTTTGAGACTCAGAAATTGGGGAACAGCTTTATAATAGATTGAATATTATTTGACTTCCCTTAGCATGCCCCTGTAGCCCTATAATGTTCATCCAGAGTACTTTACATTGAATAATGTCATATTTATGCTTTTTGACCCAACACAGTCCATTCCTGCTTAAAAGGATTACTGAGGAAGAGTTGTGTAATTAAACCTAAAGGACCATTTCTTAAGCATGGCTTTTACTGCTGAGTTGTGCAGTGTAGCACCCACAAAGGGAACTTGATCATTAGCCATTAAATTATTTAACAAAGTGTTAACTTCTGTTACCCATTAAATTCAGAAGGTCATGACTTGCAACTCATTCAGAAGATCAGCTCATATAAATTGTGAGACGGGCACAGGGGGACAGCATGCCTGTGAAGACAAACATGTCAATATTTGTAATGAAATTCATCTTTGTTCAGGCTGCCTGTATTCCATTACTTTTGAAGAACAAAGATGTTGCAGCTGAAGCAGTGACAGGAAGTGGCAAAACTTTAGCATTTATTATTCCTATGTTAGAATTGCTACAGGTAAATATAATTTATTCATTCTTAAAGCTATTATAAGGATGGGCATGATACATGGGTACCATACTTTTGATCACATAAGTGAGGAAGTATAGAAGAAATTGTCAGACTAACATTGTGTGGTTCACAGTTATGTATGCAACCAGTAAACTGTAGATCTTTGCTTCGTATATCATTTTTAACCCTAGGAATTTCTTCTGTTTTCTTGTTTCTTGTAAAATGGTTAAGATTCTTTCTTGGATACATATAAGTACCTCTCTTAAATTTCAGTATATATTTTATGTATGTCATGATAATGTGTCAATTGTCTGAATGAAGAAGACAACATTAATTAGATTGTTAGGTAACATAACCATGAACACAACAAGACAAATGGTATTACAATTAAAATCAACATATCATAGATTGAATTTTATTGTTTACCACCACATGTTTCGGTTCTCATGGGGCCATCATCAGGCAGTGTGTATAAGAAATACAATAAAGTTAATTGAAATCTCAATATGGATGCATATTGTGGCATAACACATCCATATTATAAAAGTTGTAGAAAATTGTGCCCTGGATTATGATGAAAATTACAATGTAGGAAAATATTAGAAATATTAGAGTATACAAGAAATTGTGTTTAAAATAATAGTGGACCTAATTAAACTTTGTTGTATGTTACAACTATAGGATTTTACAATACAAATAAAGCGTTAGATATTACATGAGTAAAATAACTAAGAGTGTTAAAGGTATTAAAAATATTAACAGATATTTAAAATGGTATTATAAATTTATGGAGAAATGAAATTAATTCCTCACGTGGAGTTGAAGGTTCCAATGTGTGGTAGGTCATTTTAATCCATGTTTTTTTAGCCTCTCATGATGTGGATGTTATTCGCCGAGAGTTATATTGCATTGAATGTATTGTGGAGCAGGGGGCTGTTTCAATATGTTAATTTGTCTGCTAAATAACATCTTGGATATGAGTTGTAATGCAGTGTTATCTCAGTACATCGGTGTTTTCTGTTTGTATGAGCGTTATGTGTGTCTTGGCTTGATTCAGTGACTCCATATTGAGATTTCAATTAACTTTTATCATATTTGTTATATACATTGCCTGATGATGGTCCCATGAGGACTGAAACATGTAGCGGTAAACAATAAAATTCAGCCTGTGAGATATTGATTTTAATAGTGATACCACTTTCCTTGTTATGTTGATAGCTACATTACATAACCATATCGTTATGACACACAACAGGATGCACACTATATAACATTAATTAGGTTTGGCGTATGACTTTGTTAAGTAAAATGAAAGGGTGCCTACTTAGTGAAGCCTTTACCTTCTACCTGAAGACCTGAAGACAGAGGACCACCTCCTAAAATATCTTACATCTTATGTTACACTTTTTATGGTGAACACTAAGAAGTAAGTATGTGAATGGTATAAATTTATATAATATTATGGAAGTCTGTTGTTCTGTGTCTTCATATGGAATCTACGTGTAGTTTTATATACGTTTGCACTCACAGAGGGCGAGAGCCTGAAGCAAAATGTATTGCACCAACAGAAAACATAATAGCTACTCTCAGCTTCTAACAGATGGCATTAATCATTGAATGATCAGAACTGTTTAACCGAATGTGGTGATGGGCTGCAAAATGAGGAACATATCTTCAAGGACTGTAAATTGTATGAGGACCAAAGGGCAACAATGATGGTCATTTTGTCTGAGAACAGCAAAAAAGAATACCCAAAGTCAGTTATAGAACTCTTAAGGCTAGAAGAAAAAAAGATTTCTGCAAGGCATCTGCTACTTCATAAACAACATTCCTATATTTATATAAAATAGATGTGTAAGAAAAGTAAAGGAAGTAATTGTACTGATTATTAACAGTATACTCTCAGATATAAGTTAAGATCTATATTAAGAATTGCAGGGTTGCCACTATTGTAGATTAAGATGTTTATAAGAATGTGCTACAGAAGGCCAGATGGGCATTGCCTATGCCTTTTTTGTATTTACAATATATTTTTCTACAATAAAAAAACTGTTCTAACACACAAAGAAGAGGGAAGGAAGTGGGGAGAGGAAAGGTTATATTAATTGCCATACAGAAGGGATGTGAAAGGTATATAGAAGAAAGGAGGGTAGGAGGTAAAGAAATAAAGTGATAATAGGAAGAAAGTGGATGAGTGGTGAAGGTATGAAAGAAATGGTTTTCCTCAAGAGACTATGTATTTATGCCTGTGCACTAAAATATCATGGCCACATGAGAGTATATTTTGAGTGACTTTAACAGACATGTGTTATTGCTTTCTCATCTTTGTGTCAGTGTTTAAAATTTAATGTTACAGTTATATTGCATGTAATCTTGATTTTTCAGTTGTCATTGTGGTAGTTTATAGTGGTTATGTAGCTTTCATTGCTACTGGATAAACTCACTTAATATGAAATGGATTTTATTTAGTTATTGTCATACAGTATTGAATTCGACGTACATGTTAAATTATACAAATTTCACTCAAACATGTCATACTGATGTTAAACACCCAACAGTTTCTCTTTGCTACTTCACCTTTCTCTTGTAAAGTAGAGATTTAATTCTTCCAGTCCTGCATCAAATTAACCTTCAGTATTTGACTCTCAAATTATGTAATTCTGATATGAAAAAGATGGTATGCTTTTACATTACCCAGAAGTTTTGTACACCTGCGATCTGAAAAGAAACAAGAATTATATTATTTTGATTGATAATAATATTCGTCCTTTTTGTGTGATTTGTTTACCAGAATCGCAGTGAAACATTGAAGCGTCATGAGGTGGGTGGTATTATTATATCACCAACTCGTGAGCTTGCAACCCAGACAAGTCGAGTGCTGGCTTACTTTCTCCATCACGTTGAACATATCACACAGATGCTACTTATAGGTGGGAATAGTGTGTCTGCTGATGTAGACTGTTTCAAGGCCAAAGGAGCCAATATCCTTATTGCAACACCAGGAAGATTAGAGGATTTACTGATGAGGAAGTGTGACATTAATTTACCAGCTGCAGTCAAGTCATTGGTGTGTATAAATGCCCATATTAGTGCGTTTTTCCAGTTTACCTAATCCTTCCAGCCGCACTAGGACCCTGGGGTTGACTCAGCCTCTAACAGAAATGAGTACCAGGAATATTCTTGATAGTAAAGGACAGCCAGCACGTAAGGCTCACAACCTTACCGCCATCTGTGAACCAATTGTCTAGAAAATGTGGGAAACTCAACATCTTACAACCCTATGGGCATCCACAGCCTGTTACAGGGATACCTATACTTTTTTACTTTACTTATGTGTTATATTCAAATATGGCATTGTGTTTGAAATTTTACTTTCTTTGTAACCAAACTATGTTGCAGTACCCAGTAATTAAAGGAATGTAGTCAGTAATTCTTTCCCCTCATGATTATTCTGTTCTTTTGAAGCAAACTAATAAGAACTTGGTATACAATCTTCCAAAAAGAAAACGGGGTCTCACTTTTTATATTCAGTTTTTACTGTATTTAATTTATTTATGTCTAGAAAATATTCTCATTCTTCGTGCTACTTATGGTTGCTTTTGTTGTCAGTATCACAATGTGTAATAGCTGCAGCTTAAAATAGTATTAAGCTTAAAGTCAGAAATTGTAGTATACTTGTATAATTAACAAAATGCTGGTAATGAGGATTTGAATTAGAGCCAAAAACTCCATAGGAGCACTTGCTCACTGTTTTAACAGCATCGACTACTCTATGTACTGGCAAGAGAACGGATTAAATTTTATATCTTTGGCTTTTGACTCTTATTTTGCAGTAAGAAACAGGAAACACAGAAGCAGGGAAGAGAAAATTTGTATTGTTATACTAGGTGTTATCGGAGGGTTCCCGGACTGTTATTGTTGTAATTACCTCAGTTAAAGAAGATGATAAAGGAGTCCAAGGTCACACTTCCACAAGCCTTTTGTGGCAGTCTCACACATGACACCACGCTGTGAACTCACATTGTTTTACATGAGTACTTTTTTGATTTTATGTTTTGTTTATATGCAATGGATGGCAAAATCAAGCCACATGTGTGTATCAAGTTTTGTATGAAGCTCAGTAAATCCACAATGGAAAACCTTGTAATGCTTTGTGAGGCTTTTGGAGAACATTCTTTAAGCCAGACAGTGGTTTTTGAATGACATTCAGGTTTCAAGGCCGTTTGAGTGTCAGTTGGAGATGACAAACATTCAGGGCTACTAGCCACCAGCAAAATGACATAAACGGATGAAAAAGTTTGGGAACTAATCCATGAAGACTGCCGCTGAACAATCCATGAGCTCGCAGACACTGTTGGGATCAGTTATGGAATTTGCCAAGAGATCTTAACAGAAAATTTGAACATGGACTGCACTGCCACGAAGTTTGTTCCATGCTTCTTGACAGATGATCAAAGGCAACAGCGCATATAGGTGTGTCTTGAACTACGAGAGAAGGCTAACGAGGACCCAGCTTTTATCTCTAGGATCATAATGGGTGACAAAATTTGGATTTACTCGTACAGTTATGATCCAGAAACAAAGCAGCAATCATTGCAGTGGAAGAGCCCTCAATCACAAAGAGCAGAAAAGTGTGGCAGG